AAAAGGAGGACACAAAGGAATATGGGACTAGAAGAGGAAAGTGGGTCATATCCATGCAGTGAAATGTGTGTAGGGACACCAAGTTTGGGGAATTTGACTGGTGGCATAAAAGAAACTTCATTCGAAAGTATGTTAATGGAAGGAATGTATAGCGTATATGTTCTGCATATCATGCAAGCTGTTTACTTCCAAATTCAGTTTTGCCTTTGTGAGGCAGTAGGGGATAGGCTAAATAAATAATAAAAATAATGCTATTGCGTATTAGCAAACTAGATTTGGAATATGTAAGATACTAAATATTGGAATGTTTTGTTTCACACTGACATATCTGTGAATGTTTTCTTAATTAAAATGTAATCTGGAAACTCTGTTTCTGGGGATCAGCTGTATGGCACCTGTGGCCCTCTGTCTAGTGCTTTAAATACTTTAACATTTTTTCAATTATTATTTCCTTTTAATTATCCTTTGAAAGTGATCTATGTGGACAGGATTTCTTTTTAGTAGTTATTCAAAAAGTTCTGCCACTTAACCCAGGATTTTTGCACGCTTCCTGTGTTTGAACTCTGGAAAGGTTGAAAGGGAATGGATTGGTGAGTAAATGGAGTGACTTGTACTTGTTGGACTATTGTTCTTCTTTTTTATATACTTTTAGAAATGGATGAATAATTAGCTCAAACCTGAGATAAACAACTGGTGACAGGAAAATAATAAATCAGTCTGTTTAGCTTAAACAAGAAAAGGCCAGGGATTTTGTTTATTCTTCTGGCTTTATGGGTTGGGTGTTTTTTTTTTTTGTTGGGATAGAACCTCCTTGATCTAGACTTGTGTTTGAGAGAACCCTTGTATGCTCCTGAAGTTGGTGAATCAACTAGCAAACCCCAAGCACTTAGAAAATAGCAACCATATAGTACCACCATCAGTTACACTGGGTTTTCTTACAATTATATGACATTTATGATGTTTCAAAATGTACAAATAGATAGATACAGATTTTTTTATATGTGACCTGGAATAACGTAAGGGTTCACTGAAATGCTGGAAGGGGAGGAGGGAGGGGGAAGGAAAAGGTAAGCTTTAATGGCAAGGACATTGCCATTCTGCTTGTGTTGTTGGATTTGGGGACTGGCAGAGCTTCACTGTGCTGTGAAGTGTTGCTCCAGTAGATTTTTTTTGGGCACTTCATACCAAAATGTTATGTGTTTCAGTACGTTACTTAGTGTCAGGTTCTGACCAAGAAGAAAGGAGCTCGATATTTTATTTTCTTTTTAAGTAGGTGGTATTAGTCAAGAAAATTATGCATAATAGAACCAAGAAGAATTAGAGAATGAAACTGTAATCCAAAGTGAACAGAAGCAGTGTGTATTGTATTCTTTACAATGTGTGTCTCAGACTGATGTCTGAGCTGAAGACCTTGAAGGTACCTTGGTGCGCAGCCTCAGAGATTGATGTTGGAGGTGGTGCGCTTTGTGGTTAATTCTCTTCCCTCCCCACTTTTTTGAGACAGAGAAGAAGAATGCATTCATGAATGTGGTCTGCTTTTCTTTTGGGACTCCAGAAGATGCGGAAAAGGTAAAGAGGAGGACTGGATTGAAGCATACAGGAATTTTAGGAAATGTTTACGCTACAAATATTTTAAAAATCCGGAAGAACGACAAACAGCCTTTGTTTAGCACTGAGAAGTTTGCTTGTATTAGCATTCAGTGCACCTTTCTGAACTCTGGACAGCAGAAAAGGTGAAAAGCAGTCCTTTACCATTTTAATTCAATGACTGAAAAATACAGTTATTCATATTTTAAGTATAAAACCAGGTTTTATCTTGCTTATAAAGTCTAGAAGAGTCCTTATGCCTATCCTTTCACCTCCATTGACAGGCAGGGAAGCTAATATGAATGCCTTAAGTACTGCTTAGTTTCTAACTCAGGCTGTTGTGCACATGAAGAATTTTCTGTTGCATTATTTCTTCAGTTTCTATGTTGGCAGAGAATCTTGTTTTCTCTGAGACACCTTCCCTTGCTGATATTCCTACAGATACATTTTTAAGGAATGAAAACTTCCTTTGTCATAGTATCTGGAGTGATTATTCCATTCCAGTTATGCTGGCATTAAACTAATTGCTGATTAGCAGGTATAATGAACAAATGCAACTGTCGGTGTAATAGAAGACAGTTGGGGTTTTGTTTGCTTGTTTTTACGGCACTGATAAAAATCCCATTTCACAATGAGAAGTTAATGAGCATGACTGTTCTTCATTACCTGGTATTACTAGGTGCTAAAAACATGGCGTTTGAACATATTGCTTAAGTTTGACTATAATATTAAAACTTGCTGAAATTTTGTGCGAGATAAGAAACAAGATAGAGCAGGCCAAAATTTGGAGGTGAAAATTTACTGGAAATTTCCAGGATTTCCCATTTTCTTATACAAACTCAGCATTCAGCTTCCCTGCTGATTTTACCAGATACTTGAGTTATTAGACTTAGGAAGATGAACTGGGGGAAAATGACTTCTCTCTTGAACAACATGCATTATTTTAGTTCGAATTGCACAGGGCTGTTCATAGTTACTTGATTTTTCTGTGGGATTTAGTTGGAGTCCACTTCATGCTGTATTTATAAAGTAAGACCTCTTTGAGGTTGGAATGGGTCCATCCAGCACCCACAATACCTTATTTTTCTTTGAATAAGGTGTCGCTGTTTGCCTTCATTTTCAGGAAGGGATGGCCAAAAGTTTGACTGACTTCCACAAGGTGTATGTAACGCTGCTTGAGGTTTGATTACCTCAGAGTCCCCTATTTGACCTTCTAGAGATTTAATCACATTCTTCCTTGCATATTTTTCTTTAATATCTGAGGTTTCCCGTAGTCTGCTCACTTGTATTCTATGTCTTGACCAGTAGCTTGGGATAAGAACTTGTCTCATTTGCAAATTGTCAGATGTTGCTAGAAAATAACTTTTCAGACCGTGGAAAATGAGTAGACCCCTTCTCCTTTCACACTGCTTCATGGAAGACTGACACACTTACATGTGTAAGATCCATGAGAATATATCTAGGGAGAGAGGTATAGAAAAGAATGCAGCTTTCTACAAGGGAATGTATGTATGTGTTACTTGGATTGATTGTTAGCTATATCAAGGCTAGCAGGGAACCAGATGATGATGGAAACTCGTTTCCTTTGCAGACATCACGATTACTTAACATTCACTGTGGATACTTTAATATATTGATAGTCTCTTTATCAAAGGACTGAGGAACAATCTGTTTAGGGATATTATCTTTCAGCCTCCTGCCTTTCATTCCCCATTTCCACTGCAAGTACCATGGTATAATTGTTTTTTGCTTTCATGGTCTGTATTAAAAGAAGTCCATTGACATTTGCAAACACTAAACACACGCTATTTTGCATCAGCTTTCTGTCAGAATAAATAGCATTCTAGATATGTGTTATGGCTTGCAAAAATCCATGCTTTCTGAATACAGGGATGTATTACAGGAGGGGTTTTTCCCTGATAGGAGGTGACTGATGGAAGAGTAGCAGTAGGAGGTCTTCTTCAAAGGCAGTCACAGCCCTATGTTGACAAGAGTCCAGCTGATCTCTCAACAGGAGCCTGGGGAACCTTGGAGCATCCGGCTGCGTGTGCAGTTCCAGACACAGCTGGTTGGGTATTCCAGGTACCGTTTATTTTGGTAAGGCCAAATGGTCTCACAGTGTCTGTACCAGCTTCTTTTACTTAACAAAATTGTGGTTCATCAGTTTTATTGATCAAATTGTTTGCTAATGGACTTTACGGAGCACTTTTGTCAATTGGTACCCCCCCATTTGCTATCCTGACTTTACAGAGCTATCTAAAAGTTGTTCAGACCTCTTGAAGCATTTACGGAGACTTTGTTTTGCTGGATAACGTTTCTTTCTTGCGCAGAGGCAAAGCCTCCTGAGACCGGTAGATGACAAGTATATGTTCAGAAGGTTTAAGGGACGCCTAGCAGGGGCTGCATAGGCACTATAGGGGTACCTGGCTCCGGTATGGCATGCAAAGCTCTGACCTGGGCATCCAGCTCACCTTGCACAAGGAACATGCGAGTGACACTGTGGGGTTAGCCCGTGAACCTGTACACCGAGCAGAGTGTAAGAACATGCCCTGGTTGTCAAGCACCATGCAAAGCTTGAAGGCGAGTGAGAATGTGCTCCATCTCTTGTCCTGAAGCTGCTGCAGAAATGCCATGAGAAGAGAGGGCAAGAGAGAAGGACACTGGCAGCTGGGTGTTCCTGTGCTTGCCTGGTCGGGGAAGTTGTCCTGCCTGCTTTCAACATGAAATGTGACATTAAATAATTCTAGAGCCAGCTCTAATCTGTCTTCCTGCCCTTTTCAGGACACAAACTGCATCTCTCTAGTTCTACAGACAACTTGAGGTGAGCCCTGTCTCCTAGCAGGAGGTGTGTAGCATCAAGATGGCAGTCTGTGGGCCGCCTTCTTCCCGTGTCCTCTCTCCCATGGCTATGCTGGGACACCGTGCTCTGCTCCTTGCTGAGCAGGTGAAAAGGAGAGGTCAGTTTTCCACGAGCCTGAATTTCATCTCAGACTGAATCGCAGCAGTCACTTGGAGGACAGGAGAGCACCAAGAATACCTGAGTGGTGAGAGCTGGAGATTCTCATCTCTTCAGCCCCTCAGTAAGGGAAGGAATTGAAACCGTTGTCCTGACAGCAGGGTCACTGGTAACATCTTCCTCAAGGTTTACAGTGCCAGATTTGGCAGCTACAGAACAGGCGTTTTATGGCTCCTGTTGGAACTTGGGCTGTGCCACCCACGAAGCTGGCCGTTAGGTGGGTAGGCGTCCTCTGGAGCCTTGCAAGGGCACCCTGGTAGCGAGGAGCAGCAGCAGTGTGTATGGTACCATTGCTGCTGCCAGGGTGGTAGGGGGGGGTTGGATGATGACACACACAGCCTGGGATGATTATTTTTCGCTTGTCTATAAGTTACATTTGATAATTTGGGTATAATCGGTTACTTTGGAAGGAGTGGGTGCCTTTAGGTTGTGATGTGCTCTTCCCTTCCCCCATGATGGCTCCTTCAGCCTGATCCTGTGGGACTGCTCCGCAGCAGTGGTGACAGCGTCGGGCTAAGGCTCCACAAGTCTTGTTTCCAGTAGATGGCAATAGTTATTTACATCGGAAATTCTGTGTTTAAAGAAAAGCTCTCTGGGGCCAGCTGCTTACAGGAGAAGCTCGCTCTAGCTGTTCTCCTGTGGAGCTTTTTATTCAAATGGCACCTGCGCTGCACCAGCATTGCCTCTGAGCTTCTCCGTGCTGGGCTCTCACCCTGCTGCACCGCTGCTGTAGTTCCCACCCAGCACCCACTGCCTGCTGGCCCCAACAGCGCGGCCTCATCGCCAGCACTGCGAGCAAAGTGCCAGGGCGGAGCAGGACAGGCAGGGACTGTGAGATGCTCAGGGACAGCTCTTCACAGTAAGCTATCTGGCTGCCGTCCCCCACCCTGCCTGAAATTCAGTATCCTCCATCCTGGCCCCTGCCCTGACCAGGTTCTTCTGGCTCCTTCAACTGAAATGCCTGTGACAGAGCAGGTCAAAAGAATGGAAATTGAGTTTTTCAGCTTTACACAGCTGAACTTCCCTTTTTCAGGCTGCATCCCAAGCTCGCTCTCCCCGCCAGCCCCCAGACTTCAAACAAGAAGTGATGGTGCTCTGAGGAGCAGTCAGGAAGGTTAACAGAATGAAAATATTTGCCTCTGGGCATAGTTTTTGGCCAGATGTTTGTCCACGTATGTTGTGTAATGCATGGACAGCACGGCCAGGGACATTGGCAGCACAAGACACAGATGTAAGAAATTTGGTGCGTCCCAAATGTATCATTTTATTATATGCAGGCAGATACTTGATGTAGCCAGTTTGTGTTGGGGAGAAGTGATGAAACACCTTAAAGTTCATCAAGATATTTTCTGGGTAGGAAAAAGATGCATTTACGGAAAATAGTTCAGCCAGTCATTGCGTACAACAATTTAAATGAGAGGGCACAGAACTGGAGGCTACTGGTTTTCCTCCCTTGGGAATACCTTTCTCCAGATAGTTTCAAAAACCACCTACATCGGATATGTCCTGAATTGCTGTTTGTGTGATTATGTAGGAGAACATCTAAAATATTAAACAGAGAGCTGCTGAGGAACTTTTAGACTGGTGTTTTATGGCTTTTTCTTAATGCAGCTATGTTCTCAGTACACTTATAAAATCCCTCCTAATAAATAACAGACTGTAAGTCATACAGGTTTTATGTTGCCTGTGTAATGTCTCCTGAGCTAAAAAAGTCAGTTGAAAGTTGGAGCTTTTTGTTTCTCAGTTATACTTCAGGCTTCTGTTAATTGGTGTAGTTACATGTAGCATCTACTTTTACCTATAAAGACTGAAAAATGTTGCGTTGGCCAGCCCCGCTGCCTCCTTCCGGGTGTCCCAGAGAGGACAAGTACTGAGATACCCAGGGAATGCTTTGGCAAAGGTGATGTACTTTTTAAAATGCACACCTTTTTTTTTTTTAAATAGGGCAGAAAAAAAAAATTATTATTTTTTAAGCTGTTCAGTTATACCAATATGTTGAACAACAGTGCCACAACGAGGCTTTGTCAGCTATGCCAAGACTAACATTTCAAGGCAAGTGGGTGCACAAGCAGGACCCAAGGGATGTCTGCTGAGCAACCAAGCCCTTGAGGCTCTGTAACTGGGTATTGCGTGGTGCCAGTGTGGTCCTAACAGCCGGCCAGCCGGCTGGCCATCCATCCGTCCCTCCATCCATCCATCCGTCCATCCATCCATCCATCACTAGTCAGGAACTGGACATTTCTATGTGCAAAATCCATATTTCCTACACAACTTAGGCCTGATCTCTTCACTAGCCAGATGCAGCTAAAATAAAACAGAGACACTTTACCAGTGAATCAGTGTTTAATATAGTTAAATTACTTAAATAGATTTCAATTTCCATGGGAAATCATAACTGTATCCATTTTTGCAAGATCCAGAGTAAAGAGCGTGTGAATACCCCTTGAAATGATCATGACACACTGTCAACAATCACAGCTAGAGATACTGGGGACTTGAAATTTCATTGACAACACAACTTCATAAGATGAATCAAAAGTTAAGACTGCAGACTTTTGTAAAGCCAAAAGCAAACCTAAAAACCGAGTGTATGGCATGAAGGTAATGAAATTCAGTGAGGGGGGTAAAAGGGGTGGAAGGTGGAGGAGGGGAGAAAGGCATAACAGCGTGATGCAACTGAAGTATTTTGCAAACCAGGAAAGATGTAAAGGAGCAAAAGTATAGTACAAGGGCAGACTTGGCAGTTTTACAGAAGTCGATATACTATACTTTTCAGAGATGTTTCCTAGTGGAAGGGAGAAGCAAAGGGGCGATGCCATTTAAGCTCAGGTTTAAATGGCTTCATGCTCGGGTTATGCTTAGCAATATGGCAAATTAATTAAGACAGGCCCATGGATTATCACTTATTCTTGTTGTCGAGTAGGAAAAAAATAAATCACCACCACCATAGTGCAATCATTAAGCTGTTTGTTAGTACTACAATAATTCTGCCCTGAGAAGAGTGGAAAAGAACTTTATTAAATGTCAAAAGATTGGAGTAATTTTTAGTGCTAGCCAAATTCAATATCAAAACTCTGCCCTCATAGAATATAAAAAATATAGCTTTTTTTTTAAAATTCTTTTTTTTTAATAAAATATCAAGGGATTTTTCTTTAATAGTTAAAAAAGGTACATAAATGATAACAGTGAACTATTCATAAACCCCCCACTAGTGATAAAGATGTCCAACACAATATCAATGGCACTGTATTTTAAGGTCAACCATGTCATATACACACTTGCCTTCATAACCTTTTTGAAGATCACCTAATTCCTGAAAACTGAAAAATCTGTGACTCAGTTTAAATAAGTGCCTACTACAGGAAAGTCAACTCGATGCTGCAGTACATAGTTCCTTGTAATGTCAAATGGCAGTTACAGTATCAGACACCTCTCATATCCACAGGACTCTATTAAGACCATCTATGAAAAATGATTTTTTTTAAAAGAAAAGTTCAAATGAGCTTATTTTTTTTTTCCTCTTCTTATAAGAGCTCCTGTTTGTTAGAGTTAGAAGATTTGCTTAGAGCTCTTTTTGACATGTTTGACTGAGATCGTCTCAGTAGCTAAAACTCAAAGGTCCTGTTTCCATTTGTTAAGACGCCACCCTCCGCTTGAATGCTGCATGGAACAACTGTGTGACTACCGCGGGTTTTTTTTCCTCCTCTTCTTTGGGGTTGTAGATTTTCCTGGATTTTCATTTTAAAATGCATCTGATTCAGCCTGGAAACTCACCTGTTTGTTGTTGGCTGATTGTATAGTGATAATCTGAAAACTGCCAAGTCTGTGTTCAGAGTATTATGCACAAAAAAATTACGCAAAAGTCTACAGGTTACGTACACCTCCCACCACACCTTGGTGTGGACAGCCTGCCTTCTGATTTATATATAATTTACAAAATATAGAATTTGGTATATCTGTTAGATCTCCATGTTTTCAATATTACAAAATAAAAAATACAAAAAAACCCACAACAAATTTCAGGGGAGTTCCCCCCACAAAGTGTCTCTTGTTTACATCTAGTCTTTCCCATGTAAACTGATATATACCAAAGAAGAGCACAGAAGACTTCTCAATAAATATGGTTGTAGAGCCATTGTTCTTTATCTTGATCTTCCCCTTCATCAGATGTGCCAGCCCCACGCAGAAGAGCAGTCATTTAGCCACGTAGAAGAAGGGAAAAGAGGGGGCCAGGGCTATAATGTCTTTTCACACTAAAACATTACCGACGCCCTTCTAAAAGGCCTTTTTGTGTGCTGCAATAGTGGGTGTCAAATTTGAAAGCCCATTCAAAACAGCTAATAAAAGCACAGTGGTACACTTCAAACAGCTGGCAGTATGGGATGGAAACATTATGGGAGTGCAAATCCATTCCAAAATAATGCTTTGTAGTGAATCATACATTCCTTCAACCAAGTAAATGTTGTGTTGCGTCAATAAATACTTAAATAGCTTCTTACATCATCCTGTGGTAGCAGCCTTTTTTAAAACTCCAAATTCATGTCTTAGCTGTGAACTCTGTAGTACACATCTTTGGTCAACTTAGCGCTCAGCCAGGAACAACTCCAAGGTGGTTTCTTTCGATGATTGCCTTTCATGATGGATGGCCAAAGAGTTTGCTGATACCAGCTCTAGAGTCACATGTAAAATTTCAACTGCACTGCGTTTTCAGCTTCACTCCCAAAAAGTGATTCTTCTCTGATTCACAATCTTGTGTACGCAAATTCCATCTTTGAGTGATGCTGCAATCGGTGCTAACTAATTGGAGGCCCTTCATTTAGAAAGTAAGTGGTCATTTCACCTTTGCCTTTGACCTTAATGACCCCTCGATATTCCAGCTGATAGTTGTTGGCTGCTAAAACCTGGTACATGTCTGTGGTTACCTGCAGAATAAAGAAGAGTAAGCAGATGCTTGTCATGCCTTCCACACAGTCTTTTCATTTGCTTTTGGAGTAATCCATGGACAAAATTGGAGTAGGATCAACTATTTTGTTTCTAAAAAAAGTCAGTCGACGTTGGCATATCGATCACTAACTAAAAGGCTGGCACAAGTTGCAGAACATACACAACCTTTAGAAACTACAGAAGTCACACACAATACACAAGCAGGAGAAAAACCACATTTTTCAAGGAAGTCACAGGATAAAAAGAAACAAATGAGTCACATTTTTAAAAACACACTTGGCAGTTGCATCTACTCAGATGCATTCATTGTATCACTGGAGTGGTAGTAGGAAAACAGGTTAAATATATTTTAAAAGTCCTCAAAGATGACTTGGGAAATTACACAATGGATATACAATTTAGAAGGAGTCATTCAGGGATTTGTTTTTATGAAGGAGAAAGTAGCAGGCAATGAGAAAGACTGAAAATGGAATAATCTAGCCAGCATCCAAAGTCTCTCTGCAGATGCCATTCAAAAATAATCACTTGTGCTGCAGAACAACAGAAGTTTAAAGACCAGATTTCCTGAGATATTTATTTATTACAATGTATTTTCTCACCCTTTTTCAGGTGCCTTTAAATATTTCCATTTCTGGCTTCCTATTGCTGTAACATTGCTGTGCTGATTTGCTTAATTAGAATGAAAATTTTTCAAGGCCCATCTTGTAGGAAAGTTTAAAGGGTCTTGGATAAATACTGATCCAGTTAACTGACAGCTTAATTAGAAAGAAATAGCATGGCTTCCCCTCTTGGGTTTTACATCAGTTATGCTAACTATTTTTATATCCCTTCAGTACTTTAGCAAGGAATGACAATCTGTTACTGTGGACATTGGCTTAGCAAAAGCAAGACAGTGGAATTGAATCACTGGAAGGGTCACTGTCTGAGGCCAAGGAGATATTTGACTACCAGACAGCTTCCATTAACCCTTAAACTGTCCTCTTTCTCTAGTTATACATCCCCATCCTGCTGATGCCTGGATCCTTGCTGGCCTCACAACACCTGTGGCATTGGAAACAGAGAACTGAATTACAGAAATATGTATCTGAATCAAGCCCTTGGAAACAACCTACAGTTGCATGTAGCCGAACAGCAAAGCTGGCAGCACGAGTGAGTAAGCATCACAGCAGGACTTACGAGGTCTTACGAGGAGCGGCTGAGGGAGCTGGGGTTGTTTAGTCTGGAGAAGAGGAGGCTGAGGGGAGACCTGATCGCCCTCTACAACTACCTGAAAGGAGGTTGTAGCGAGGTGGGGGTTGGTCTCTTCTCCCCGGTAACTAGTGATAGGACGAGAGGAAATGGCCTCAAGTTGTGCCAGGGGAGGTTCAGGCTCGACATTAGAAAGAACTTCTTCACTGTAAGAGTCGTTAAGCATTGGAACGGGCTCCCCAGGGAGGTGGTGGACTCACCATCCCTGGAGGTGTTCAGAAAACGTTTAGATGTGGCACTTCAAGACATGGTTTAGTGGGTTTAGTGGGCATGGTGGCATTGGGTATACGGTTGGACTTGATGGTCTTTGAGGTCTCTTCCACCCATAATGATTTAATTAAAGTGCTTACAGTGCCAATGAGGCACTCGGGGAAGGAAACTCAGCTCAACACTTCCACCCAGAACTAAACTGCAAGTTTTTGAATCAAAGGTTGCAAAGTTGGTCAAGATTAAAAGGCGAAACTTGATGGTACCACTAGCATTCCTCAGTTGGATTTTCTTTCAGTACTGTGTAAGTAAATGTATGGCATGAAGGAATACGATGAAACCAAAATTCCAATTCTAATTAAGTTTCAAAACCTGTAAGTGACACAGGGCTGGCAATGTAAGTTTTCCAGTGAATTCCTTACCTGAATCCTGTCAGGCACACCTGTACTGTCCATTCGGCTGGCCACATTCACTGTGTTGCCCCATATGTCATACTGGGGTTTGCGTGCTCCTATCACCCCAGCTACAACAGGACCAATATTGAGGCCTGGAAGGAGAGAAATCCCACAATACTCAGATCCATCACATGTGAACCACATGAAGCTTGAGGCAAATTTTTTTTCAAACAATAAAAAACATCCTGAAGTTCATTGGTTCTAGCTGTGCTCTACCCTGACACATAAAGCTATGGCCAAGCTGTGGGAAAAGAAACTTTTAAAGAAAAGTTGGCTTCTTTGATCCATTATGCCTGTCTGACTGGCAGCATGGGCTGGCTCTGCTCAATCCAGAGCTACTTTCCAGTACCAGACAACAGGATAAGGTTTATTTGCCATCTGGCTGCCAAGCAAATGGCTCACTTGGAAGGCAGCACACAGCTGCTGCAATGCTGAGCGCCTGCGAGGCAGCAGCCCGGCAGCCGGCCAGAACAAATATCACACTTGACATCCTCACATTTCTTCTCCTTCTCCTTCTCCTTTTCTGTCTCTTTTTATTCCCTGACTTGAAAGACAATTTACTGTCCAAGAATGGCAGAGCTGCGGACCACAAGCGGTGCATGCAGGGAACACATTACAAGCGAAATGAGCCCAAGCTCAACCACTGTGTGAGACCATGCTGTGATAAGAGCATCTCTGTGCCAGGGTCGGTTGCCCAACTGCTCCTAATTCTCCAGAGAGCTTCAGTAATAAAGGTGCTGCTCTAACAAAACTGCTCTGATGTTTCAGAGAGGCCAAAGTGGTCACCAGGCACAAGACAACATCACTGTACAGCTAAGGTAACATCTATGGTTTTTACTCTCCATAAAATCCTCAGCTCAGAATGACCACTACCTATGCTTAATCCTGTAAACACAGTGACATTACCTATCTTCATCTGGAAATTGTTGAATGAATGTTCATTAATGTATTTCATTTGGTCCATTAACCTCATGGCAAAATCAGCCAGAGCTTTGATATGTGTCTTCCCTTCCTTGTCGTAAGTGGAATCATTGAGGCCTGATGCAGCCATGTATGTACTGCCGATGGTCTTGATCTTCTCCAGCTGCCGAAATTGGTCTTCACTTATTATCTGTTTCACAAGAGCAAAAGAAGTGAATAAACCTTGTCAAACACATACATCCTGGTAATATCCTTGCCATGTGTCCTCCCTTGGTACAAGCACTAAAAAGTACTGGACAGACCCTCCACTACTCAAAGTATAGGAAGAAAGTGGATTAGATATTCAGAGGAGTGACAAGGGAATAGAAAGGATTTTAATGTGAAAAAAAAAATAATTAAAGACTTCTAGAGTGAGGAGAAATGAACGATGGCACAAGGACGCAATAATCCACCTTCCTTCAGGAGCTCAGCAAAGTCCAACTAAACTCATTGATGCCGTTCACCCAGATTTTCTGCAACTTACTTCATCAAAATCGGCAATGATCTCGTTGAGCAGTCTCAGACACTCCACCCCTTCGTTGTTGGCCTCCAGCTCCACGTAAAACTCTGAGAAGTTGCTTATGGAGGCGAACATGACAGCCACACACTCACAGGACTGGTAGTACAGTTCATCATTTCGCCGCTCCTGAGCCAAGAAATGGGCTGCCACGTCCTTCGGCAAAATGTTGTGGAGGAGGCGTCTGTTATAGGCCTGCAGCTCCTCCATTTCTTCTTTCTCTTCAGTGGCCTAGTTTAGGAGGGAGAGAAAATGATGTACTTACTCTTTTGGTAATTGCTCTGAGGAGGGGAAAAAAAACCTGAACATGAACTTGCAGGGAGGACAGAAACAGAAGAAACAGGGAAACTGCAAAAGAGGGTAGAACCAGAGGGATACAGAAACATGTGTTTTGCAGTGGAAGATGGTCTGTCTCTTTGTGTGCACACGTGTATGTAAAAGCAGGCACAGAATAACACCAAAATCCAATGTTGTTTTATTTCTGGGCCCTGAATTGGGTGACCTGTACAAGGTCTGTTCCTTTTGGGGAACTCCACTGCCATCCAGCCATCCATGAAAACACACATTTGGCTTTCCCAGTGAAGCACAACAGGTTTCAGGAGGACAAAGGCAGCTCATCATTGCTAAAGTCTGACTGCAAGAGTGGCACTGAATTATAATCCTCTCTCTGCACACCCCAAATGCTCATGTAGCTAAATAAAAGGACCCTCCTTTTCCACAACGTTTGCTGAGGTGCAATGATGGTCGTGAGGTACAGTTACCATGGAGCCCATGAAACAGGCCAGTCCAACACTCTGGAGAGGACTCTTCACCAGCCTGTAAAGCCCCCATCTCCCGAGGTAGTGGTGGTACATCTGGGCAAACGGAAACATGAAGAGGATGGGTTGTCTTGTTTCTGTGCTAACGGGTATGGATTTGGGTTTAATGTTCAAACGGAAGAAGAGCTTCAGGAAGGACGTACCTAGGACACCTAGGCCTAGCTAACTAAAATAAAACAAGCATTTAGAGGTCACTAGATTAATCAGACTTCAGAACGAGATTTGGTTTCTCTTTGTGGACTTGCACAGTACCAGCATTACCTCAATTAATGGCTTCCGGCTTGTAGATAAAGGTACAGAGATGTGTGTACTGATCACCTCTCTCCCCCCCATTACCTGATGGCAGCAGTATTTCCCCTCCTTGTTTTACTTTTTGCCATTTTGAATATTTCTGAGCACAGGAAAAAACCAGGGTCGGACAAGGACTGGGGAAGGCGCAGCTGAGACAGGGCTCACACAGATCAGTTCAGCTTACGGGAGCCCCAAAATGCTGTCCTGTGTACAGCACCCTTCACTTCAGCAGAGGCACCAGACAAAACATACAGCCTTTTGAAATGGGTCTTCTTCAAATCCTTTTTTCCAATTACTTTTGTCATTGCTGGAGAGCTGGAGCCAAAAAAAGGAAAGGCTTTCCTGGCACATTTGTGCCTTAGCGCGGACAAACACAGCTCAGCCATAGTCTCCAGCCCTCACTTTGTGAGAGCAGAAGGGGTAACCTCCCCACATCCCTTCAGTATGTGTTGGTAAAGGCACAAGTGACACTTGCAAAGCACTTATGACTTGGCTCATGGATCCTGGATTCTGAAACAGGACATTTGAAACTGGAAATGAAGTTAAATGAGGAAGGACCCTTTAGAAGGTGATATGTCTGGCCAGAACAAGGAAAAAACTTGGCTCTGCCTCGGGAAACAAATGCTTTGGCCAGTTGAGCCCAGACCTGAAACAGGCAAGTCGGCTCATCCCTTCCATTGTTTTACCATTCATAAATGGGGAGAACAATGTTTATTTGCTTCCCAAGGAGCTTTAATTAATTGGTGCTTCCTCAGTGCCTCCTACTCAAACCACTGAGACCTATTATTAGAATGATGTCCTGCCATCCAGAAGGTAAAAAATCTATACAAAACCTGCAGTCCCGCAGCTGTGAGTCCTGGGAAGAGCTGAGACCTGTCCTGCTTGCTTGAGAATCGCATACGATGCCCCAACATAACTCGTGGGCACAAGTAGTGAAAAAATTAACACTGAACCTAGGGACAGTGTGGCATTCTCTCTAGTGTGTTGGTTATCCAGTACTGCTGCCTAGGGGCTAGCGAAGGCTGGATATCAAGCCAGTTCCCACTGCTTAACAAGAAAGTGAATGAAAACGCAAATGTGAATCTTTCACACCCCTCAAAACAGCAAAATAAAGCTCACTGAACTCTGGGAAACAAATCAGCAGTGAATATGAGCTTCTTATATTTACAAATTGTGTTACATTACAGGTTCCTGCAACAGTGACTGGCTGAGTTTTACCCAAATTCATTAACCTCAGTCTTTAGATCTATAACCCTTTACTGTGGGGACCATCCAAAGTGCATTTACAAGGGAACAAGGGGTTAAAGTAAATAACCAGGATGAGAAGCACTGAGTATGCAAAGTGCCAAAGAAGAGCAGAGCATTACTAATATGCCCAGTTATATGACAGATCCAGATTAGATTCAAAGGCACTTTACAACACTCCTCAACTTGATAGTGAATAGCTCAGTAGTTTTATATTAATGCCAATGACTATGAGTATTCCTCCACCACCGCAAACACCCACTAACCTGGAGTTTCCAGAGGAAATCAAGCCTTGCAGTGGATTCCACTTGCTGGGCATGCAAGTACAGCGCCAGGACAAAGACGGTAATGATGACAGGGGTCACAATCTTCAGCGCAACTCGTGTCATTGCTGGAGAGCTGCAGCCAACAGAAGAGCAGAATTTCCCAGTTAGTCTCAGCGTGGAGGAACACAGCTTAGCCACACTCTGCAGTTCCCACTCTAAGGCTAACCAACCTCTGAAGAAAACACTTTTTCTTTCCCCTCAAAGCATGTGCTGGTAAAGGGACAAACAATACCTGCAAAAAGCTGATGACTTTGGCTCATAGGTGCTGGTTTCTAAAGCAGGACTTTGAAGTTGGAAAAATAATCCAACTTCTTAAAAAGACTTAATATCAGCGTAAAAGTCATTTTTCAGAGAATGGCCATACATGCTCAGCCACCACTATGGTTGGCAAAACCGAAATGCTGACAGCCCTTCAGACTGTAGTCGCTGTGTCTCCTGCACTGGCTTCCCTTGCCTCCTAAGTCTGGAACTGTTCCACACTTACTGTTTCTCTAATTAGTCACTTCTTAATGGCCTTTGTTTTGTAAGTATTCTATAAGCTGAAAAGAGCACCAAGACACACTCCCATTCCTTCTGACAAGCAAGCAAATAAAAACTGTTAAATCTGAATTACAGAGTTATACAGTATGAAACTATTATTTTATAAACCTTTGACTTGTAATTACAAGTAAGCTCTATGAGATGCTCTATGAAGCAAGTTGACATAAGTCCCACAAGAAAGAGGATGCTCTGGGAGTAGCTTTTCCTACAAAAGGGCAATCTGCAGTCCAGTTAGAGCATTTGCACTGCGTTACACCAGCTCTCAGCAACGCACAGTCACGTACCGGCCACAGCTGGTGAGTCAACGTGCTGATATTGCACCTCGTGAACAGAAAATACCTACCGACAAGAACCCATAAAAATATTTCATGCCAAAGTGACTCACCATGATAACGTTGCATTTGCAGACACACTGGAAAAAAAACAAAAACAAAAACAAACCACAAACACAAGGTTAGTAGAGTGTTTGGCTCCCTCCAGCACTCATCCTTCTGTACATCATTCAACAGCACCTCTGCACTGTGGCACCTCTAACACTGTGGGGGGCTATAGCCCTTTTAAAGTAGAAACCAACAAAAAGATGGGGGGAGAGGAGGAGAAAAAAGGTCGTCTGAGCTACGCTCAAAAATTCAGAGTGATGGCGCAACATGCTTAATGTGGTTAAAATATCTAAGAAGCATTAAGAGTCAGAGAATCATTTGGGATTTTAATGTCAGTGTGGGATGCTTAGCAAATGCTTGTGCATCCATCACTACTTCATTAGGTCAGGCTGGAAAATTTGATCTAAAGAAGGAAGCTTTGGGCTAATACCTTGTGAGGGATAGCTCCTCTCGTCCCCATTTATTGTAGCGTGGAGATGTGTTTAATTGCTTTAACTCTAGCACTACTCCCTTCTTCCACAAGTTGCTTGTCTCCAGTGCTGTGCCTAGCTATGGGTACCACACACGAGTGCACTAAAGAAAACCCTTACACGGATTGCCGTTGCTGTTCACAATACTGCAAAGTACTCGTATGAAGCAGAGCTGCTGGAGAAGATGGAGGGTGTGCTTTTCTTACAGTGAAAGGATGGAAAGGAGCTTTCTGGTAGGTAGTAGCTGTCTGAGTTCCTGACTGATTGATTGCTTAATGCTGCTGGGTTTCTTCTCAAGTGTGGGTGGAGTATTAGGTAGCTGAGAACCACGTACATCTTTTAAAACACTATTTAAATGGAAAGACATCAGTGGTAAAATTACTGTAGTGTCATTGATGCAATTACAGCTTCGCAGGCTACTAACATGATACATCTTTAGCCTGAGAATCTCACAGCTGTCTCAAGAGCTTCAGGCCACAGTTTTCTGAGGCTGGAAGGACTCTCTCGCTACAGACTCAGAGATACAAATCATCAGAATCGAAATAGCCAAGGAAGCCTAACAGGGCATAAAATTAAAAAATAAAAGCGTAGTGACTCTCTAACCTTGTTTGTTCCAAGACATTTTCTGCAGCTCTGAGCATGGAATTTCTTCTGACACGGATTTTGCAACCCACCGTTATCTTGCACATGATCTATTGCACGGCCTCTTGGCCAGCTCCAGCACTGAACATGTGTGCTTGGACATGGACCCAGTTTGGGAACCCTGGGGACAGTGACTCCCACACTAAAGTTCGGATCTAGTTGGAGTTAGAGACACTTCCCACATGCAGCATGATTCCTCTGCTCCCCTAAATCACCACCTGGCCAAGGATGACTGACTGCCCCCCATTATCACTGTGTCTTATCATGGGAGCATGGCAGATCTGACCCCCCTGTACTGGGGGCTGCAGCTCATGGTGGGTGTTACGCTTGCTCTAAAATCTTCAGCAGAGACTATGAAATACAGCAAACCCAGTATTTACAATAGCACTTTGGATAAGTGAAAATGCTCCATACAAGCAATAATGGCATTACATTGGTAGGTTGCTCCCCCATGGGACAGACATTTCCAGTAGCAGGTGACTCTTTAATTACTGGAAGGTAACATAGAGAGAAGTTTGCTAAATACACTCCCGCTCAAGTGAAGTGCACATTTTTTTTTTAGCAGGAAAGGTGGATGATTTTGGGGACAGCTCCCACGGAACAGGAGCATCCCCCTCCTCACAGCCACCACGCCAAGGACAGCCAGCCCTCTAAATCACAAACCACAGCTCGAACAGAAATGATGGGCTTGATGACCAAACCACTGGGCAAAGATCTTTGGGCTCCACTATGCAGGAAGTCAGCTTCGAAGATCACATTGGTCCATAACATCTCTAAAACCAATGCCTTAGTTTTATCTTCTGCATAGGGAAAAGGTGTCACCATGTCAGTGCGTCGCTGCAGTCAAGTCTAGCAACTCCCAACGTGCTATAATCAGCCTTTCAGTTGCTTGCATGCTGGGTTGGTTTGTACACAGAAGTGTGAAGTGACATCTGCATCACTTCTAATTAGTCAGAGTACCATAACGGCTGCAGAGTAGACAGTAATTATGTAGCTAAAACGGGCATCCAATTAAAGCAGTATGGGGTCATGTCATTTTTTTTTTTTTTTAATATCAGCTGGACAATAAGGTACCTCTCTGAACTATGTGCTACATGCTGGGCCCCCATTTCCCACAACACACAAATGGACTGTCAGACATTGGAACAATAAATCGCTGTCCATGACGCTCTCCGGACAAAACAAATATCATTTAGTGAGAGATAATATAGCATCACAGAAAGCTATTTCTGGGAAAACATCCTCACCTTCTCCACTTTATTACTGACATTTTGATTGTGAAGTGATGTAAATTATACTTCTAAGTGCTGTAATTTCGCTTAGTGCTTGACTTACAAGAATGAAATGATATTTGGGATATAAATGCTTTTATTTCTCTAATTGTGTTAAAAAATGCTAAATAGCTTCCGTTGTTGGAGTACATAACATTTGCAAAAAAAGGAAGAAAACCTCATTCTCCCCAAACCTCCACAGAAAACTCCATGGGGTTTCCTACATGGTTTCATTCACTTCAGTTAACAAAATAATTTAAGTGATTACTGCCAATGACAGCAAAAGCCATACCACCCATTACTGGGCACCCAAAAAAAACCATGGAATATTTACGTGAAGGACAGAAGTAACCAGGTGTATCCAGCTTGAAGGGGTTAATGACCATCAAGAAATTTGAGCAACTACACAAACTATTTCATAACATACAAGTAGCACTGGGAAGGACCATAGGAATCTTCTCAACCACCCTCCTATCCAAAACAGTAGCAACCACAGCTATCATCCTTGGAAAATGTTTCACCTAAATTGGTGCTTTCTAGATCTCTGATTGTTCTCTGCTGCTGTGGACTCTCCATTATCATGAACTGCCTTCTTGCCCCAAACTGGAAAACATATTTCAGGTTAGGCCTTCCCACTCCTGAGTAGAGCAACGGTCTACCTCCCATGTCTTACCGGCAACTCTCCTTATTATACATCCTAGCATCATGTTCACCTTTAGACAACACCATGATTTTATTGACTCACATTCAAGCACAATTGTTGCCTACAAGGGAAAATCATCAGGACTAGTAGTTAAGACAAAAATGCAACTCCCAGTGAGAAATGAAACTTGTGGAGGAGGGGGTGTGTGTGGATGTGCCAAATTTCCCTCCCTGGCATGACCTTCAGGAGACAGGCTAACAATGTTAATGGAAGGAGGTTGCCATCACGATTAACATGCGACCTGGTAATGACAAACTACCTTTTGTAAGTAAAAGGGAAACTGTCTACTCCTACTTAGCCCAGGCCCTTCTGCTGGGAATTGTACTCAGACCAGCTGTGATACTGGCTTTTCAAATGCAGACATGTGTCCAACAGCAACTGTCAGGACATCACCAGCCAAACATCAAACACCACCATTCCACCTCCCCAACCTGGGTTTGATATACCAGATGTCCGAACATCTCGGTGGTGCATTATCACATCCCTGAGCCAGCTCAAGTTTGCTGGAGTTTTGGGTTTTTTTCTTTTCTTTTTTGAGAAAAGACATTTCTATGTTGGGAGTGTAATACCAGAAGAAGCGAGAATGACTAACTACAGCTCCCCATTTCTGGAAGAAAAAGAAAAACATTCACTCTGATTCCAGTTATATTTTGTTATTAATAGATAGTTCATTAGTCAAGTTCCATATTAAAAAAATCTTAAAGAAGGGAACTGTGTTCTTCTGCTCTTCAGAGGTGGTGAGGAGCATTGACAAAGCCTTTAGTTTACAGCCATACCTTCTCTGGTATCATGCACTTCCCTTGCTTGCACCACAGCCTCAGCACTCCCATCCACCTAATGCCACACTGAACTCATTGGGTGAAAGAAATTAGGTGAAGATTTCAGAAATGAAAGGCACTTACTAGGTGTTAGCTGTAACCAGGAGATCTGCATTGTCAAAAAGGTTGACCCCTGGCACTTCCACAATGAGAACATATATAAATTCAATGATTAACATAAGGATCAGTTTTCCAATACAGCTGATCTGAAGGAACACAGAGCAGGCCAGGAGACTCAATAAGACACTGTAGGTAAAGTACTGTATAAAGACAAAAAGGGAAAAAAAAAAAACAAACAGAAGAGAGATGAATGTCGGCTGGAGAAATCAAAACTCAAAACAAAGGAAACAAAACAGAGGGATAGAAAGGGATTGGGAGTTACGTACTTGAGCTGACCGAACATGTAAACCTGGGGCTGCCTGAGGGATTCTCCCATGTTACAGGAGATTTAAGTCTTAAAACTGAACGGATGGAGAGGAAAACTTGCATTCTTCATCAGGCATTATCTGCTTTACACTCAAGAGGCATAGGGTTCGCAGCTCTATACCCCAGGCTGTGATGTAGGTTTGCCCTGGACACAGTTGCTGCATTAGCAGAAAGCAGTACCCAGTTAAGCTGGACTACTTTGTTCTTTAAGGTCAAATTCTGGACTCAAATTCGCATATCTGCACAATATACAGGACCAAGGGTATTAGCAATTGACACCACCAGGACAGATACCCACTTGAGGTCCATTGCAAAGTATTGTCCCTGCCGAAGTGACACACTGAATCCATCGACAAGATACAGGCTGGACAAACTTCTACCAGTGCCCAACACCAGGATCATTTTTTCTGCCAGCAGTTGCAGAAGTGTGTGCACGTGTGGTAGTGGAGCCCTCTGTCACACCTCGGGGCGGGGAGTGGGGGGGGCAGCATCTTCTGTCTCTCTGAGAGCTGAATGTTTAGCATGCCAGTGCTTTCAAATGAGACTGCAGACTGCACGTGCCATTTATGGCTCCTGGGAAAGCTAGCATGGATGTAAAATGATGAGGGGTGTTATCCAGCTCATCACCTTCTTGCTATCAAATCTGTGAAGATTTAAGCTTCCACTCTGTCCGGACAGGGCTATTTCTGGCAAAAAAACTGTATCAGATGCCTAAGCCAATCCATCCTTTCAGTTAAAAGCAAGCCCTAGTTGAATTAGAAATATGCTTATGTTCTGAGCTCATTTATTAATAGTTCATCGCTGATATATTAAATTTGAGAAAATAACTTGTACAGCTTGTAACTTGACTCTTCAGTTTCTGGAAAATAGGTGGATGTTTCCAGTCGTTGAGGGGTAGGATCCCACCATTTCCTGAAAGTACACTGGGAGCAACAGACAATGACTGTACCAGATCCAAAATCTGCCCTGCAGAGCATAGGAGAGGGACTCCTCACTTTTTAGCCCACTGACTGGCAGGACCTGGCTCAAGGCTGCCATACCATCCTCAGCATGCAAAATGGGCACTCCTCATTGCTTAAAATGCCTTTCTGTCCGGAACCAGTGCTCCTAACAACCTCATGATGGGCACAGACTGTTTCTAGTTCTCCATTGTGCCAGATTTTGCTCCTGGGTCTTTCCGCAGGCTTATTAAGAGCCTTTGCAGGGTTGAAAGTCACAGTAATGGTGGTCTCAGAAACCTCACTGAATCAAATAGGGGCCATATTCCTGTTAAGTTAAATGGAAATAGGTTCGGTGGGATACCAGGGCTTTCAGTAGCACCGTGGACATCCGGATGATAACAGATCATCTGTCAGGTCCCCATAAACCCAGATGATCTTGACATAAATTGTCTTCCCATCCTAGGCAGATCGTTTTCCTTTTCTTTTTCAGTAGACAACACAGGTAATGGCTGTGACATAAAAACTCAGAGAAAGGTCTTGAATAGCTATGCAAAAAGATTATTTTTTTGGCAAAAAGTATTCTATCAGTGTGTAAAACATATTTTTTTTTTTTTCACCATTAGAAGCATTATTTTTTTTAAAAAAAAAACCAAGTTGTTCTGAAGAGGTAGGATTTGCACCTGCAAATTGAAGCAGTTCACTATCAGGGCTGCTAACCTGCCTGAGGCCAGAACCTACTATACCTAGTGAAAAAAATATGTAAGCAAAGTTTTTCATCAAGACATAAAACAATGGAGGGAAGGGTTAAACCTATAACTAGACACTGATTTTCAATGAACTGATTTTCAAGAAACACTGAGCACACACAAACTCCTTTGAAATGACTTGCAGTTCTGCATTCCGTTAAGGACTTAATGGAGAAAGGCTATTTCTCCCGCTACAGGCAGGATCCAACAATTATAAAAGCCTAATGATTATTCAGCCCCAAAGGAACTTAAACATTAGTGTGGACTCATGATAGTAACTTCAGACGCTTAAGTTTGTGTGTAGTAGCCTGTGACAGCCCTATAACATCAGTCAGGAGCAAGCTTGCTTTCCTCTGAATCACTGAGATTTATCCCACAGGTTTTATAGGTCCTTCTCAGATCAAGCTCTGCAACCCATTTTTTTCAAGTAATACCTCTGGAAAGTTGCAGTTGGGCAAAGGACTGTCACAGAACCCCTGCAAAGTGCCCAGGCTGTAGTTTGAAGTCAGGTTGCTGATAAGGCATATGTCCACCTGGCCAGGAGTGATGTTGTATTCTGCAGCCATGCAGCTGGCAAGATCCACAGTGCTGCACATGAACTGAAGAAAAAGATGGTATTAAACTCAATGGCACAGACAAAGAGAAGAAAACAAAATAGTTTGCATCAATTAAAAAGCCCCTTGGAAATGGCTGGAGCAATGAGCAAAATATGCAAAATGAAATCACTGGCTTATGTTTTACTGCATGTGCAATAGCTATGTTTTTTCTCCTCTAAAATATTAATTAATAAAATCCAGGCTGTGTACTCTAGAAAGCTAGTTTTCTGCTTAACTTCACGTACAACTTTACGTCTGAAGGTTCGCAGGCAGAGGGGCTGTAGATATTACACATACAAATATATCCCGCTGTCTGTGATAAGGTCCTGGTGTTGCTCTATTTCTGCCGATGGGAATTTCTGAGCTGATAACTTTCCCCTTCCATCTCTAAAGCTTCTGCTGTGGGTCTTTCTACAGGGAAGACTTTTTAGCAGCATGGCGCAAAGGCTGATGCGCTACGTTATGCTGAGGAAGCAGCCGAGGTCCATTCTGATCTCCTCCATGTGCTGCTCCGTTTGTCCATTTTGCTAATTTTTACACTAAGCAGTTCACGAATGCAAAGAATCACAGGTTATACAGAAAAACAGAGATCTAATTTCTGCATGGTGCTCAGCAACCCACACCAGCTCTTTGCAGGTGACTATGGGGGAAGGCAGTGGGGTGTCGATGGCACTGAGCTAGCACCTCCCATTCTAGTACCTCAATAGAGCATAAAATTGTTCCTAAATCTCCACTATGTGTATAGAGAAGCTGAGGCAAGTAGTGGTCTGATTTTGGGGTGTTTAAGCCTCTCGATGCAAGTGCAAGTCATCACTGCCCCAGCTGAGGTCATAACTGAGAGGAGCAAAGGGCCATGTGAAGCCTTTGAGCTACCTCCAAGCTCAGGCTTTTAACCCCAGGCCCACCTCTCCTTTTTTTTCCCCCTTCTCTTAAAAAAATAAAATAGGTGTATGCAGGGTAAAGAATATTCAAGTGGTTTCTTTAAAATACATTCAGCCTTCAAGCCATTTGTACAAGTGAGAAACCAGCAGCCGCAGGGTCCTAGAGAACAGCCCATCTCTCTCTGAGTCTGAAATCAGCAGTGGTGTTTGAATGCAAAGCTAGACTACACCAGTCCCCAAAGTGCAACTCCAAAGCAGTCTTCACAGTCCCTGTTGGATGATTACTGCACTTGGAGCAGGATGCAACACGGTGCAGAAGGCCGGGACAAAGCCTACGCAACACTTAAGTCCCACTCAATATTGTGGGAGTTAAATGACGCATCAGCCTCGTGCTGGCCCTTCACGCAGGGGTACGCTTCAGGCTTGGCTTATGTACTTGGAGCAGAAGTATTTAAAGAATAAGAAAAGAACATAGGCACAGATTGGTGCCAGGTATATAACGGGCTATAGGGATGCAGCTGTCAGGCTCCCATTTCTTTTCCGTGTCCCAAAAGCAAAAGAGAACTGACCTCAGATGCTGTGAGCATTAGGCAGGATTACATAAACCCAGTGGTTGTAAGGGTTATGATGCTGCAGAGCACCCATAAGAAAACCATGCAGGAACAAGTGGATCAAAAGGAAATAATGCACGTACCATGTTGACAAAGGCAGATAAAAAAACCAGGATAATGGCAAAGACTCCAACTAAGGTACTATTGGTCCTGGACTGTACAATCTTCCTAGAAAGAGTCTGGAGTGGAGCTGGGAAAAGCTGCATGTGGGGGAAAAAAAAAAGATTAAATAAACATGAAAAATCATTGCTTGTTTTACAGGTTACGACTTGCATTTGAGCTGCCTGCATCCTTCAGTGTGGCGTCTGTGTGGATGCTGCACAGGAGTTAGGGACTGGTGATGGGGGATGGCGGCTCCAGGACAAAGCCTCATGGCAGCAGGCCCAGCTGGCTCAACAAATCTACTTAGTCCTTCCTAATGGGAATGATGGCTCCTGAGCTGAGATAGCATGGCTTGCAGGGCTATGCTCATCCTGTTGTGAGAAGCAAACCACAAGCCATCTGTAACTGAAATAGCCAGGAGCTCAAGCCTGTAAATTACTGGATAAAACATTAAAAGAAGCAGAAATCAAAAAATACATGTCATATCCCTTTGATCACAAAGGCGTATCGTAGGACTTTCTGGTGCCATTTCAGAAGCAGACTGTTAAAAAGCCCAGGCTAGTCTTGTGATCTGTCAGACCCCTAGTGAAAGGCGCTGGAGAAATCAGCTGGCCTCCTCTGGTCTATGGCACTCGGCACCACAGACACACGGGGCTAAAAATAACCACTGGTAAGGACGATCATAGAGCTCCCCTAGACGGACTGTCCCACTGATTCACTACTATCAGAGCTAGAAGCTTTCTTCTAATTGCTTTCTGACTGCAGGCTGACAGCGTGCTTTGCTTTAGGTGCTGCATTGTATTCCGGGTAGAAACAGTGTCTGTGTTAAAGCGGACACTAACCAGGCACCCTTTGCAGCAAGGGTCACCCCTCAGCATTGCATGAGGCCTCCTTGCATTGCATTAGCTACAAGAGAAGTCCAGAACAGAGTGAAACCAACCCTTTCTCTTCATCTGCCTCCACTATGCCAGTGCAAGCTCAGGGCCAAAGCAACGAGATGGAGACCAGGACACCTGTGAGCACTGACACCTTCCCACTGGAGAGCATCGGCCCCGCAGTGCCCTTCCCCTCCACGCCATCACGCTGGGGCAGAGGGGCTTTGCTGAAGACTGCCGAAGTTTTTTCCAAAACCCAACTCTCCTTTCCCT